GGCGGGGTGCGCTCCCGTTGCTTGGTCCCAGCGCCTGCCAACCTAGCAGTTCGAAAGCACCCCCGGGTGCAAGTAGATAAATAGGGACCGCTTACTGGCGGGAAGGTAAACGGCGTTTCCGTGTGCTGCGCTGGCTCGCCAGATGCAGCTTTGTCACGCTGGCCACGTGACCTGGAAGTGTCTCCGGACAGCGCTGGCCCTCGGCCTCTTGAGTGAGATGGGCGCACAACCCTAGAGTCTGTCAAGACTGGCCCGTACGGGCAAGGGTACCTTTACCTTTACCTTTAGTAACGAGAGAGGAAAGACCCAGGTGATATGGCTGGGATTCTTTTTGGGGGTTCATCATGATTCATCATCTGACTTTCAATGTGCATCACCTTATCTCCGGCTAAACATTTTGCCCACGTGATAAAATAGCGTAAGAGAAGTTTGCTCATAAAACGTACCACACAATGTTGTTCCTCTTTCGTTTGCAAAGCAGCCTGATGTCCACCTCCTCATTTTTCATCCAGTGTCCCCAAGAACAAAAATAGAAATAAATCCTGGAAGAAGGTTTAAACAATCATCTTACAAAGGAAATAAATAAGAAGAAGTTGGTTTCTTGGGGATACAGAACTGTGTGTACGGTAAACTTTTTGCTATCTAGTGGTTTCTGGGTGTTTTCCTTTTATAGCACATATTGTAAACTGACAACATGTGGTTTTGAAGTATGATGAATTCTGCAGCCAAAGTGATTAGTAAAATGTTTCTTCTTTAGAATGCTGTGTCATGGATGTAACACTATTGACAGGGTTGCCATACGTTTAGGAATTCCAGGACACGTCTTCTTTTTGGGGTCCTACATGCCCACCTGGAGAGAATTTTACATTTTAAAGCAAATGTTCAGGATTTTTGGTTTTTAATTTTTAAGGGTGTGTGTAAGGGCAGCTCTGGTTCAGGTTCTGGCTCTGGCTTGGCTCTAAAAAAGCTCAACAACTTTTTGTGTCCAGATTTTTACCCCTTGAAATATGGCAACCCTACCATTGACCTTGTCTGCTATGTATGAGACATCTTGGGTCTGTAGAACCAGCTGAGCATTGGAGTCCATAGAAGCTCAGGGTAAAACATGATTAAATTCAGTGCAATAAACAGTATTTGGTCTTACTAGTCTTTTGGTGTCTGGCCTACGAGGAGCTTATGCTGTTGTAGGAACATAGGAAGCTCCCTTATACAGAGTCAGAACATTAGTCTATATAGCTCAGTACTGTCTACACTGGAAGCTGCTCTTCAGGCAAGGTTTTCTTCCAGCCCTACCTGGAAATGTTGGAGTTGAACCTGAGACCTTCTGCATACAAAGCAGGTGCTCTACCTGAGATATGGCCCTTCCCTGGTAGAATCTCACACTAACTTGGGCATATAAAGGCTAAGAAAGTGCAAGGCTAATTGGCTGGGCATCTGTCCCCACAATTGAATATGTGAGCACTCATGGTGAAAGGGGCCAAGCAGGGGTAGCCAACACGGTGCCCTCCAGATGCTGCTGAACTACAGTTCCCATCACCCCTGGCCATTGGCCATGCAAGGTGCGGTTGATGGGTGCTGGAGTCCAAGAACATTGAGAGAGCATCACCTTGGCTATCCTTGGGCTAAAGTCTTGAGCCAATGCGTTGCCTGAGGATAGCTTTAAAAGATTTTAGTTGGTATTTTAAAAAATGATTTTTAGATGTCCTTTATTATTTTTGAAGGTTTTAAATAGGTTTATTTAATTTTAATTATCCTGTTTCTACTACTTTGTTGTTTGCTGCCTTGTGCTCTTTTGGGAAGATAAGCAGACTAGAAATTTGATTCCTTTGCCATTTCACCCCTTCATCTCTCCTTCTTGGTTATAGACAGTGGGGAAGTCAGGTAAGCAGCACTGCCCTGCTACCTACTATTGGAGAAGATGTGAAAGAAATAGGTGCATATAGGCACATGTGGCGGCCTTGCCTGAGAGCACAAAGTTTGGGGGAAAGAAGATTTAGAGAAATAAGTGTTGTCATGGGTCAAAGTTGTAGTGTGCTCAGTGGTTTTATTTACTGTCTCAAGTGTGAGGAATCTCAGACCCAAAGGCCAGTTACAGCACCTCTCTATTTGGTGCTTAAGACTCTCTCTCTAGGCCAGGCCCTTTTTGAGTGCTTTTGCCTGGCTAGAATGTGTCCCACATTCAAAACAGGGACAATAACATTCAGGAATGCAAAGCTTCCTTTAGCTTTAATATGGAAATGTTTCTCTTCTCACTATCCAAAGTCCTGAGATATGAAAATATCAGATTCTTTTGAAATGGAAAAAGATAAGACTGATTAATTTAATTTGTTTATAGTTAAAATGGGCCAGGGTGTGTGTGTGTGTGTGTGTTCAATTACCATCAAAGTGTAGCTGTTATGAAAGCCAGTTCCCCCTGGGAGTATCCAAAGCAGAAGTAGCTATATTTCTGAATACACAATGCAGAACTGATCAGTGGACAGCAGACTACAGAGGCAAGATGTACTCTGCCTTTCGGCTCACCTTCGTATTCTGCATGATGGTGCTATCTGGTGAGTACTGCACCATGGCAAGCTAGTTTAATTCAGGCCCTGGGATGTCAGTGCCTGGAGTGGTAGGGCAACCGTTGGTCCCACTAGGTCTGATGCTACCATCCACTTTTACATTTTTTGGTCAGGACTCCAAGTGAAAACTTGTGGTTTTGCTGCTATACGGCAGCTGTCCATTGCTCCTGGAGGGATTTTAAGGTAATATAGTGGTTGCTGCAACAGCAGCTGTTTTTTAAAGTGCAGCTAGTCCTTCTCCACTGCTGCTCATTAGCTTATGCAGGGAGTGGTTGCAGGAATGGGTAGTGGTGCTCAGCCCAGAAACATCAGCTGAAGTGCCTGCAGCAGCCACTGCTGTCTTTGTTTGTCGAGAGCAGTGCAGTGTAGTGCGGCGGAAGGTAGCTCAGACCTGGTTTTACCCTTACCGTATGCTGTTATTATTTACAGATAAATGCACATAAGGTGGTACCTCTAGTTACAGATGCTTCAGGTTACAGATGCTTCAGGTTACAGACTCCACTAACCCAGAAATAGTACCTCGGGTTAAGAACTTTGCTTCAGGGTGAGAACAAAAATCGTGCAGTAGCGGTGCAGCAGCAGTGGGAGGCCCCATTAGCTAAAGTGGTGCTTCAGGTTAAGAACAGTTTCATGTTAAGAACGGACCTCCAGAACGAATTAAGTTCTTAACCCGAGGTACCACTGTACTGTAGTTTAATTACTGTATTTGCAAAATTCCTGTAAAAATGCCACTGATTCTCTAGCACAGCTGTTCCTAAACCTTCCCCCTGCAACAGACCACTTGAAAATGGCTGTGAGTCTTGGAAGACCATTTAATTATCTTTCTGCCTTTTGTAGCCATTGCAACGCCACATCGTTTTTGTTGTATTTTTATTCATTCTATCATTTCTCATGTATTGTACTTTTATTATATTACAATTTGAATTCCATTGAGTTCCACTTGTAATCTTATAAAACACAACAGAAGAAATAGAAGAAGCATTACAAATTACAACTGAAAATCCATATGGATATTTAATGTAATGGATGTGCCATCTCTCATCTTCAACCGCAAATCCATAGACACATCACAGACAACCTGATCGAAGCTCATGGACCACTGGTGCTCCAAAGACTACCAATTGACATGTAACAAAAATGTAACATAAATGTAGTGAACTAGACCCTGTAGTGAATGAAAATGATCTGTGCCATGGAGCAACAGGGCTGAGCCCTGCCACCTACTTTTTATTCAAGGTTCAAATCTGGAACATAATAGAACATATGGGACAAGGCGTCTCACATTTCAGATCCTGCACCAAGAAGGTGGTTGACCTGCTTTATTCATTCATTCATTCAGGAAAATGTATGAATTGCTAAATAGAAAAAGTAAATATCGTAAGTGGTGTACAGAAAATGATTATAAAATAATGATCAATAAAGACTCAGATGAAATCAGAAACATTTTAAAAACAAGTCTAACATAACAGAACTATATGTCTGGGCTAGAGGTGAACTCTAGGGACTTATGCATCATCTCTGTGTCATTCAGGTGGGCCCTGAATGCTGTTCCTGACCATAGGTTGTGTCTCCAGAGCAGCTTATCACTTATCATATGATGCATCTATTCTTTTGTTATTGTACCTGTTCTGTCACTCTTATACATGTTGCTTGCTGAGAGTGTAGCTTTAAAAAGAAGCTTAACATATTTTGAAGTCACTTCCAGTTCTTTGATTCTTTGATTTAATGAAACAAGTACCCTGAGCAGGTGAAGTGTGCATTTCTTACATCAGTGATTATGGAGAAATATTTCCAGATCAGTGAATGTTACTTCAACACAGTTTTAAGTTTCCACATGACTATCAGGAAAGTGGGAATCTTGCAGTGTGTTGCTAAAGCTGACTATAGGGGCTTTGTTTAGTATTTTTTAGGGATGGAAGAGTTCACATTTAAGTTCTAGTTCACATTAAAAGTTGGACCTACTATATTTGCCCTTATCAAAACACGACATGAACAGCAACGGAAATCAGTTTAATTTTGCAGTGCAGTTTTTCAGCCAAGTAGTGTGTACAAAAATGCACATACTAGGGTATAGTCTGTGTACATATGCATATATTAGTGAAAGGAAGATATAAAATGCATTTGGGGAAATTATTTTGCAAAAATTGGTGTATTAGGCAAAATCTGCATAGAAACAGGTACATTATGTGAGCACGGAAATGTAGATGCTATTCTTGAGGGCTATAAAAAACAGATGTGGAAATTTGGAGAACTGAGCTTAAGATAGGAGAAATGAGAATCCGAGATTGCCAAATTTGACCATCCCTATTTATGAAATACCATAGGCATCTGGTTGGCCATTGTGAGAACAGGATGTTGTGAGAACAGATGGACCTTTGGTCTGATCCAGCAGAATTTTTCTTATGTTCTAAGTGTTTGCTGAGCTCCCAAGGATTTAAGCAGTCTTGGCTTCTTTTGCAGGTGCAACACAGGTGATTCACGAGCGGTTTCGGAACATCACAGCAGGAGAAAATGTCACTTTGCAATGTCGTCTGGCCAAAAAGCACGACGTTGTTCAGATCACCTGGCAGCAGGAGCAGGGGGAACAAGAGACCAACATGGCTACTTACAGTGAGGCTGGTGGCACTACAATACTGAGCAAATTCAAAAGAAATGTCCACATGTCCCAAAGTGGACTGATGGTTTCTGCCATCACCTTCCATGCTACACTCAAGGATGAAGGCTGTTACAAGTGCATCTTCAATGTATTTCCCATAGGACCCATCACAGGCAGGACATGTCTCAAGGTCTATGGTAAGAGTTGTAGGATCTTAAAGGAAGCCTCCGATCTTACTGGAAGGCCAACAATGCCATGTTATTTCTTTTCAGCAAGAACATTTGTACTTGAAAGGGCAACCTCCTTTCCTACATCAAACCTTCCCATGCTCTCAGATCAGCAGAGGGGGCTCTCTCTTTTTTACAACTAATGGCAATGACAGATACAGCCTTCCCTTGGTGGTGCCTTGTACTTATGAGTACATCAAGACCTCTTGCCATTTCAGCACCAAGTGAAAGATGTACCTGCTGTCTCAGGCTTCTTAGTTTTTAATTAGCAGTTACAAAGACATTTTAACTAGCTTCTTTTGTTTTAAAGCTCTAACACAACCCCAAGTGACGGTGAAGAGTGTATTGGATCCAGGCAATCCTGAAGAAGAAGTGCTGGAGATAAGCTGCTCAGCAACAGGGAGACCAGCTCCAGAGATCACCTGGAAGGTCACCAAACCTCTTCTGGTGGAGCCAAAGCAATATGTCACCCAGCACCTAAACCAGACAGTGACCGTTGTCAGCGATTTTTCTTATGTCTTCCTCAAAGATGTCTGGGACAACACAATAACCTGTGTTATTCATCATCCATCTTTAAACACTGAACAAGAGGTGACTTTACCTGGGATTATACCTGGGATTATACATGGTGAGTTTGATGATTCTGGGTTTAATTTACTTACTTTTTTAAAAAAGCTGATTGCCTAGAACATTAAAAAAGAAGAAGACAACTTGATTGCAGGGTGTGCCCATCACCTCTAGTCTTTTAGCCACCTTTCTTCAGGGTGCATGCAGTTTTGTGGCCTGTTGTGATCCGCATTGTTGGGCACAGGTTTCCCCATGAGTGGAGGGTCCTGCTTTTGGCCAAATCAGTAGTTCTATAACATTTCTTTTACTTGGCACTCCCAATATTTTTTAGCACCCTGTAGAATGTTCATTTTCTAAATGCACCACCAATGCCACAATCTGAACAAAACATGGATTTTTTTGGGAGGTGGGGTGGACGAAAGAGATTTTGAAGACCATACTACACTTTTGGAATAGCTAAAAATGAGACATTGTTTCCTGGTCGGTTGAAAGAAAGGCAGCTTCACAAATCATTATCTTACATGTGTTAAAATCCAGGACAGAAGATGGGGAGTGAAAATAAAATGATGTCCTTGGCTGTTGACTGTGGTTCTGGCTGTGTTGTTTATATAATGTGATGGATCTTTCCATGATAAAATACATACAGTGATACCTCGGGTTACATACGCTTCAGGTTACATACGCTTCAGGTTACAGACTCTGCTAACCCAGAAATAGTGCTTCAGGTTAAGAACAGTTTCAGGTTAAGAACAGACCTCCAGAATGAATTAAGTACTTAACCCGAGGTACCACTGTACATTTATAAAGAAATGACATGTTAGGAAAACAAGATGGTACTTATGCCATGGCACTTCCTCAGATACTGTGCATATGCCAGTGGTAACAACAACAACAACAACAACAACAACAACAACAACAACTTGTGTGCACCAGCATCCACACCTGCCTACAGCACAGATGTTATAGTGCTGCCAAAATGCACACCTTTCGTAACACACAGTGTAGTTCTTGGGGATCAGTTAAAGAAATGGAGGGACAAATCTATCAGTTTCAATCTCTTGCATGCATGATATACACATTTTACAAGGCAAGTTTCCCCAAAATAATGTGTTTTAGTATGCTATTTTCACTTATATATGCATTTTTATGCACACATTCCCACAACATATGTACCTTTGCACATGCTATTTGGCTGGAGAACTACATTGCAAAATTCAGATAAGTGTAATTTTTGAAGGGTGGCTGTGTTTTGGTTCATGTATTGTTTTGAAACTACTAAGTGAATTGAAATTCCTCCCTATTGGTATACATCTGCTGAGCTTATTATGTATAGACATCAAGCTATTTTCCACTACTTTTTCTGATGCTGTTTCAGTAGCAATTCTTATTTATTTATTTATTTATTTACTTGTTTATTTCTGAAGTTCAAAATGAAGATCTGCTGCCAGGAACTTCTGCCACTATTGCAATTTGCATTTTGGTGGCCATGTTTTCCCTTGGTCTATTGCTCTTTTTTATCTGGTACCGTTGGAGGAGGCTACACCCAGCCAATGAGAAGCAAGACCTTCTATGCATGGTAAATATATTGATTGATTGAGAAATTAATAAAGAATTTGACAAAGTTGTACAAAAAAGTTTTTTAAAATATATATATATATCCACAAGACTTAAGATTTCAGGCTTCTAGACAGCCAGAAAACTCAATTTCAAAAAATAAGATTCAAAAGTTGAATTTGAATTCTGAAATATTGCTGCATTTTGTTTTTTGTTTGTTTTGTTTTAAAAACCTCTAAACTAGCTTATACTGCCTATCTGGGCACAGTAATGCCTACTTTAGTAGCAAAAGTTTACCATCCAGCCTCTTTTATGGTCTAGATATTGAGGCAATCGATTTTGCTGTCCTACAGAGCATCCTTAGGTGGCAACCATCATAAAGTTCACTAGTAACTTGGCACCTCAGAATGTTTGTGATGCTGCAACATTCTGTAGAAGTGACAGAGAAGGAAGAGAAAAATTGGTACAAGCTTTACAGCAGGAATGGTTCATAAACTTTCCAGCCTAAGCTGCAATACTAGATGGTGCCCTTTCTCCATTCCGTGTATAGAAGTCTACTGGACTCGCAGTTGAATCTGATTTCAGAACTGGTGATGGAGCAGCAGACTAGCTTAGGGGCTGAAGGGTAGACCATGTAGTACATGCAACTCCAATAAAGGGGACCATTGAAGCAGGCCACCAGTTCTTACCAGCACCTGCTCTCTGAGGTCCTCTGCGTAACAGTAGGGATGGCCCTGCTGCAAAAACTAAACTCCTTTGCATCTTTAGAAGTCATCATACTTGCCAATGGTTTGAAGCCAATATATATGGTCAATGTGAGAAGATATTTCCTTGCTGCAGTTTCTGAAGAGAACACATTTACATGCAAAAGTCAGTGTTCTTGAACTGCCCATCTAGTTTGCCATTTTTAAAGTAAAATCTGTCTCTGTTGATAGGTTCTTTCTGTATGTCCTGGATGCACGACGGGTGCAAGATATTCCTATACTCAGGAACACGTTGTAGTGGAACCATTTCCTGAAGAAAGCCTTCTGAACAGATGAAATATATTTTGGACAAACAACGCCAGACTTTTAAGAATGTGAACTCAGAATGTTTCTGTGCGAACAGAGAATTGCCTGCTGGATTCTATATTAAGTTCATATAAAATCTTCAGTAGGATCTTCAGGAATTAAGCTACATTACCCAATATTATGACTATTTATTGGAAAAATCTGTTTCTATAGACTAGAATAATAAAAACAGAACATATTTATTTGCTACATATTTTATGCATTGTGGCCACTGGAATTCTGAAACTGTGAACTCCGAGGGCCAGTTTGCTGTTGTGACACTTAAAAATGCAGTGGAAATTCAAATGAAAAATGACTCAGTCCATCTGATAAAAGTGAGACAGACATGACTGGCTTGAAGATAAAGTTCTGATTCTGTTGCTGGGTTAAGGGAGGTGACATGTATGGAAAATACATACCAAAATACTTCAAGACCATTAAGGGAAAAAGGAAACTCATTGAACCTTTTTACATCATGTGTATATATGTGAGGCAGTCACAATAAAACAGCTCACTAAATATTGAGAAAGCTTGGGTGTATATGTTATATTGGTGAATCATAATAAGGAGGGAAAAAAAGATGATTCTCATTCACTCCCACCTTTGCTAGTGACCAGGGCTGCTCCCTATTTTCTGGTATCTAAACCTGGTAGAACGCTTCTGCTTTGCCTTTTGGAAAGATGCTAGGATGCTTTAAAAAATACACCAAAGGGTGGTTCTAAGCTGGAGTTGACCTTAAAAGCTCTAAGCCATTTGAGACCAGCCACCTTCTCCCATATATACCTACCTGAGTCTTGAGATCCTCTTCAGAGGTGCTTCTTCAGATGCTTCTGGCAAGTGAAATGAGGCAGGTGACTACCGGGAAGAAGATGCTCTTGGTGGTAGCAGCCGGTTGTGGAATATTGTAGAATTGTAGAGTTGGAAGAGATGTAGGGTCATCTAGTCCAACCCCCTGTGATGTAGGAATTTCAATTGGCTGTTATAATTAAACAACATGAGGAATCACAGTTCTCATAAAGGTGTCTCAGAGGGTGGCCTCCGAATGAGATTGTTATAATGGTTGATGTTTTATTTAATTTATTTGTCGGTGGTTTATATGAGAAAAAGTCTCAAAGCAACTTATAAAAACTTTTAGAATCCGTAGTTTTAATGGTGTTAGCAATGTTCCAGTAAGCCAGAGGAGTGAGAGTTAATCATAAAAGGAAAAGGAGACAAAATCATTATTAGCCTAAGCTTCCCCGTGACGGGGTGAGCTCCCATTCCTCGGTCCCTGCTCCTGCCAACCTAGCAGTTCAAAAGCACGTCAAAGTGCAAGTAGATAAATAGGTACCGCTCCGGCGGGAAGGTAAACGGTGTTTCCGTGCGCTGCTCTGGTTCGCCAGAAGCGGCTTAGTCATGCTGGCCACATGACCCGGAAGCTGTCTGTGGACAAACGCCGGCTCCCTAATGGTCAGGGGTCCCTTTACCTTTACCTTAATATCTCCAGGTGGGGGCAACAGCTCATTCATAAAAGAAAAGGAAAAATGCCATTGGGGAAAAGTGGTGTCATCATTCAACATACCTTTTCACAGGATAGTCTTGTGAGGGGACCTCAAACTCCCAATTCAGTGGTACCTCGCAAGACGAATGCCTCGCAAGACAAAAAACTCGCTAGACGAAAGGTTTTTCCGTTTTCGAGTTGCCTCGCAAGACGAATTTCCCTATGGGCTTGCTTCGCAAGACGAAAACGTCTCGCGACTTTGTTTCCTTTGTCTAAATAATAATTCGCAAGACGAAAAATTCGCTAGACGGCAAAACTTGTGGAACGAATTAATTTCGTCTTGCGGGGCACCACTGTTCTTGCAATGTTTTTTTTTGTCAGACCCAATGCATAAAAGTGTGGCTCCTATTTAACTGAAGTCATTGGCTATATAATATTTTATTATGCAGTCACATCATATTCCATTCTACACAAATAATACCAAGAAGAGGGTTGTATTTTCTTGGGCTTGAGTTTAGTTGTCATTTTCAGCTAAATGACTCATCGATGGATGGGAAGAGTGTCTGATGCCATCTGGTGGTGCTCCTGCGATCAACAGCAATGCAAGCTGAAGTCACTTCTGAGCTTCTTAGAGAAACACCACAGACTTCACCTCTTGCATTTTTGGTCTTCCTCCCTCCTCCACTATTTACATCCCCCCCCCATACTTATAAATGTGTGTGAACTGAGCATGCCTTATGCCTCTGGAGAAGGTGGCGATGGTGTGGTTTTGTCAGTGAAAATTCATGCAGCAATATTCATGCACCACCACCTTCTCCAGAGGCATAAGTCATCTGCCTTTAAGGTGCTATACTTTGTGTGCTTGCTGAAGCATATACAATGCAGAGTCCTTTCTACAGACATATCTGCCAATGTGCAGGGGCATAGTGTAGGGGGGGGCAGTGGAGCAGTGGTCCAGGGTGCATATTTTTGAGGGTGTGCAATGCAGGCACCCCTGGTGCAGTGTTCCTCTCCCAGTGTCAGTGGAACCAATAGAGAGGTTACCGATGGACTATATTGTCTAAATTTGTTCATGCAATAGTGATAGACTTTTATTTTCTGCAAATCTATTACATATTCTCTGTTCAAGAATTGCTACGCTTGGAGTTTCTATTACCTCATGATTACAGGATTGGGATTATTGAAAGGCTTGTTTGCCTCTGTGATATTGATTGATTACCTTCCGTATTTTGTTCATACAATATTGATTTATTTTATTATTTGTATCTCCATCATATATTCTCTGTTTAAGAATTGTGAAATATTACAGGTTATATATATATTGTTAGATCATTATTAGCCTCAATATATATAATGAGTTTTTTAAAAATGTCCAGATACACCTTTCCAAAAAGACCTGAAGCATTTCTATTAGGAATGATTGGAGTGGAAATACCAAAAATAGATCAAAAACTGTTTATGTATGCTACAACGGCAGCAAGAATTTTACGAGCCCAAAAATGGAAACAGCAGGAGCTACCAACAATAGAAGAATGGCAGGTGAAAGTAATGGAGTATGCGGAAACGGCAAAGCTGACCGAACACATCTGGAACCAGAGTGAGCAAGCGTTCCAGATCGAATGGACTAAATTTATATTATACTTAGAGACTCACTCTACACATATAAAGACACTAGCAGGACTGAGATAGGGCTCACTTCATGAGAAGAATCAACATTCTATTTCAGACAAGCAAAGTTAAATATAGGATAGAGATGTTATAAATGTGCAAAATAAAATGTAACGAAAGGAAACCAGAAAAAGGATGGAGGGAAGTCGAAAGCTCGGCAGAGCAAATGATATAATGGTTGTTATGTTATGGTATTATATAATTGTTAAAAGTTGAAAATTAATAAAAATTATATACACAAGAACATTATGTTCGTGTTGCCTGTTATTGTGGAGATATGCTTCAGAGGTCCAGACTATGGGGAGCTCCAAAAAATTAATAATTATAATTTGGATTATAATTTGGTCTTCTTTATTTTAGTTTTTTATTTTAATTGGATTATGATTGGATATATTAATTGGATGGGGTTTTTTTTGGAAAATTAATAAAAGTGATTTTTTTTAAAAAAAAAATAACAATAGAGTGGTACCTCTGGATGCAAACAGGATCCATTCCAGAACCCTGTTTGCATCCTGAAGCGACTGCAACCCGCATCCGTGCGCAATTTGCCGCTTCCGTGCATGGCATCATTTTGACCGTCTGCGCATGCGCGAGCGGCGAAACCTGGAAGTAACATGTTCCATTACTTCCGGGTCGCCACGGAGCACAACCCGAAAGCGCTCAACCTGAAGCAACTTCAACCCGAGGTATTGGGTTAATATTGTCTGTTTTTGCAACACAGGGGATTTCCTTTGTTACATACCTCTCCCAGAGTCAGCGGAACCAACAGAGAGGAGCACCGTGTCAGGCCATGCTGGGGGCACTGCTGTGGGTGTGCCTCATTCATGCCTGCCAAGTACTGTGTTGAGTGGCCAGGCTCCTCCTGTGTGGGTGGGCAGGCAACACAGTGTGGTTCTTCTTGGCTCCAGTGTGGGGTCGCTCTGGCAGTGTCAGCGGTGAGAGCTGGGAGGCTAGGGTGAGATCCTCCACCCTCCACCCTTTGTGACCCATTCCGTGGCACACACGCATGCCCCCCCCCCAGCACGCACACACACACACCTGGTGCTGGGAGCTCATGGTACGCGGCTACCTATGTGTGAACACCAGGGTGGGGTTGAGCTGGTATACCATGATGGGATGGAAGGGGAAATAAGTGTAGACCCATTCTCGACCTTCACAAGGTTACAATGGCTTGGAAGACAGGACCTCAAGAGGGCCAAAGAAACAGCCTGCATACTACAACATATTTGGGTTAAGGATATTGTCTGTTTCTTCAGGACACAGCAGTTTCAATAATCTGTGTAAGAGCCTAAAATGTTTTAAAAGAAATTGAACAAAGTTGGTGCTAGAAGACCAGTATATTATATCGCCTATTAAGGCCTTCAGACAATGCCGTTACTCTTCCAAAGTCACTAGAGTGGCACTATCTGTTTAATGAGAACTAATTCAGTGCAATTGTGTTTTGTTTACTGCTGTTTCTGCCAATTTCGTCCGAGGCCTTATCTGATCTCAGAACTGGGTGCCCCTTTAAGATCTATGAATTGAATATCTCTTAAAATAGTCTGTTACTTCTTGACTTTTGCATTGTTAAACAGGCAGGCAGAAAACAATGCTCTATACAAGAGTATCCTTTTCAAAAACCTGCTTTCCCCTTTATATCAGTTTCATGAATCTGTGACAATAAAGAAGATGGCTCTTGTACAAATTCAGCAGGAACGCTTAAAAAGCTGACCGGTTTGACTGCTAAGCTTTTTTCCTTAACACTGGAACAAAAATTATAGATTCATTTCATTGCTTAAGGAAACAGATGTGCTTAATTTTTGTTTATTTTCAAAACGGGGTAGTGCAAATTCGTCCAGAAAGAAAGAAAGAAAGAATATATATATATTCCTCTGGAGCTGTTAAAGAGAAGACACCATTCTTTTGATAACAATAACAGTAATCTGGAACTGTTAAAGAAGAGGCCATATTATTATAATAATTTATTGGGGGGGGGGATTCAAGGCAACTTACATGTTACAGTAATATACATTTTAAAAAACCAAAAGAAGTAGTAATTAACATATAAAAAGTAATCAGGACCCTTCCCAAAGGGCACCTGGTGGTAGAGGAGAGAGTTTAGTCATAGAATTATAGAGTTGGGAGGGACCATAAGAATCATCTAGTGGTCCAACCACCTTCAATGCAAGACTGTTTTCCCCAAATCTTTGCCCAAAGATTAAGAGTCTCATGCTCTACCAACTGAGCTACAGTCTTTACAGAATCTTTTTAATTTGTCAACTTCTTAACACAAGCCTTTCAAAGCTGAACAGATTTATTGGGGAAGTAAGATCCCAGAAATGTCTTTTTTGTTGTTGTTGTTAAACATGATAGCGTCCTGTTCTTCATTTGGCATCTCTTGAGATTTGCTATACACAAGAGCCCAAAAAATGAGCAGTTGAGAGATTCAGAAGCAAAAAGAATACTATGATAATAGCTGGAATATTTTTTTGTATTTTTTTTTAACGTTTTTCTTAATTTTTGACGTTAACATAACAATAACAAAGAAATAAACAAGGGAAGAGACCAAGGCCGGCCAATACATTTTTGCAACTGAGGTGAACCACAAAATGGCTAAGTTTGGTTTGAGCCGGGGGTCAATTTCTCTTGCAAAACCTCTTGTGAACAATTCAGAAATGAAGATGGGATCAGCACCTGATTTAGGGTACCGTAGGTGATTCCACTGCAAGGAGACCAAGCCGAGGGCACACAAAATTATAATAAATAAAAAAGGAATTATTGTGTAAATAATAAATATTTAAGTGGAGTGCAGGCTGCTCTGCACGCCATGGCTGCTGCCAGCCTGAGCCAGCAAAAGAGGCCTGCATGCCTCTTTCTCCCACTCGGTCTGGTAGCGTCTCAGGCTGTCCTCTTTTTGTTCTTCAAGATATGGCAGCTATATATATATATATCCTGTATGTAAACTTCGTGCAAGGAAATCAGGAAGAATGCTTAATAAACCAGTCATCTAGGAGCTCTAAAAGCAGCAATCAAATTTGCGTTCCTTAGGAAGTGGCAGCTGGATGACTCAAAGAGCTATTATGACTCAAAGAGCTATTATGCAAGAACGCAACCCAGACCATTCTTGCAGACCGCCTTGCTCACTCACTGGCTGCACATATGAGAGGAGGAGGCTGAGGTTGGTTCGAAGCTGGGTTGCCATATTTCAAAAAGTAAAATTCCTGACGCCCGCAAAATTGTGATTTCCCCATTTTTACACCCCAAAACCAGGACATGTCAGGAATTACCATGACTTATGGCAATCCTAGTGACAAATTTTCAGTTCCTTTTTTCACATGAATATTCAAAACAGAATCTAGAATGTAGTTCCTTATTGGGGATGCTCATTCACCACTGTATAAAAGGCGGGACAAACAAATTGGGAACCAGTAACCAACTCCAGTCAGGTCCTAAAGGGCATCTGTTAAGACAAGAATGCAGAAACACAGAAAGCCTGCCTTACATTGAGTCAGACCATTGGCCTATCTACCGGGAAATGACAGGATTTGAAATTTGGGACGTTCCTCATGCAACACAGAAGTTCTATCAGTAGCTGAGGCTGCTGAACAGTTGAGGCTGTTGTTGGTGTTTTATTTTAGATCTTGTTGTGATTTATGTGGAAATTGTTGTTTGATTGTGTATTTTTTAATGTTTTGTTTATTGTTTATGACTACTTTTGCTATGTTGTAGTTAATGTATTTAACTGTTGTATTTTTTCCCCATGGTGTAGGCCATCATGGTTTAAATGGTATGCATGTATGTATGTATGTATGTCTGTATGTACCACTGAGTTAATGCCCTCCCCCGATGAAAGCTGCTATGGAGATTTTCTCCTTCATAATACTAGACTAGAGCTCCAAGCATCAGCCAATCAAGATGCAGGGAGCTGAGGAGCACAGGAAGCTTCCTTATCCCAAGTTGGACAATTGGTCCACCTAGCTCAATAGTATCAACACCAGGGATGGGGTGCATAAAGGCCACCCCCACTTCTGGTCCAAATGCCTGCAGTGATGGAGGCAGAGGCAAACATGGGCACAGCATTGAGTATACATTTCTTCTTTGCATAGTAGGGACATCTCCTCATTGCTTGTAGTTTCTCTTACTCCTTCTATGTGTGCCAGCTATGCCTCTGTGTACCAACTGCCTTGCATTTACAATATTAAGAAACAATATTTAATACTCCGGCTCTGTAGAATATATAGGGTGGTATTCAAACATGTTTTACTCTTAGCAGATCCACTGAAATGAATGAACGTGCCTAAGTTAGAGCCATTACAGTAATTTCAATAGGGCTACTCCTGAGTAAAACTTACTTGACTACAACCCATAGGTCATTTCTTACTTTAGAATATTCTATGATCTCAGGGACTTTGGGATTTGTTTAAAGCACAGTCATAAAATAGAACAGGAACAGTAGTAAAGACCTCGGATTTTTATTTAAAGCATTTCCCTAGTAAAGGGCATCATTAGTTAGGGCCCCTGATAATCCCACAAACATTTTCTACAAATATCCTTTCCTTTCTTTAAGTATATGCTCCACACCATATTCACACATCTAGCAGAAGCATCATTTTTCAAAACAGACGCTAATAAGATAATGGCCAATTTGTGCTCTCAGTTACTGCTCTATAATCTCTGTTTAGCTCTAAGAGCATGCTTTAGACTTCTGTCTCTCAGAGTTCACTGCCCACCCCCCCAACCATTAGGGAGGGAGGAGACGGGAGATTAGACATTCCCAACGCATTTTCCTGCTTTCCTTTTCCACACTGTGGCTTTTCCAGCCTTCACTGGAGGCAGCAACTGCCCTCGTGTGCACTCTTCTTCATACCAGAGCATGCGTCCCAAGGTAAGATGCTTGCTGTGATGCAAGTCCAAGGCACAAGCTTGGGGATTTGTCTCCAAACATAGGGAGAAAGTAAAGAGAAAGTGCCTGCATGTTCTCAAATGAGGCTGAAATTGGTGTTTGCTTAAATCGGTCCAAAGCCGTACTGCCTGAATTCAATTTGCCTCCGGCATTCAATTAGCTCAAGAGTAGTGGCACAATTAGTTTTAGCCTCTGGATTCAAATAGGCTTACGAGGGGCACATCTCACTTTAGATAGTAATGCGTGGTGTGCTCACTTCAAAATGTGGTAATCCAAGATTGCTGCATTTGGAAGCCCTTCTGCTCAGCTGCCTGGAGTGGGGCCCAGCCCTGCCCTGGCGATGCCATTGCTCAGGAACAGGGCCAGATTAAGGTTTGATGAGGCCCTAAACTACTGGAGGTAATGAGGCCCTTTATATGTCCAGCTGTCCTTTGTCAACAATAAATTGTCGCTGTTTTTTTGTGTTGAATATATGCTATATGGTAATTGATGGACCTAATAGATATCTAAAGCCATTTGCACATAACGAAATAGATATTTTATCAAAGTAATTGGTGAACTAAAATACAATTAAGAAGTATATTAATAGTGAAATAATTACTAAGCTCTAACTTAAAATGATTTTTTATTCATAACAAACTTAACAATGCAAACACATTGTCATTTGGCAATAACAAAAGTTCCTTTAGAAACACAATTTACACATTTTTTTTCCTTTGAATTTTTTTTTGGGGGGGGCCCAAGAGAGTGGGGGCCTAAGCTAAAGTTTGTGTAGCTTATACATAAATTTGGCACTGCTCAGGAGAAGCACAAAGGTGCTTTTATGACAGCAATGTTCCACATGCTTAACTGAAAGGGAAATCTTACTGAACTGCGTGAGATTCAGGGTGCTTCTAGGTGGGGACCTAGTAATGCAAACAGGTATTTGACTACTGGGTTTCCCACCCCCACCCCCCAAAAAAGACTGAATATGGATTAAAACTGAGGGGCAGATATGGGGAGTATGACAAAGATGTTGTGTGGTTGCAGCAAAAACAATGGCACACATGAGAATCGCCAATCCCACACTCCTGCTTAGAAGTAAGATCATGTTTATGTATAGGATTATTTTCACACTTTGGCAAGAAAAAAAAGAAAAGAAAAGCCATCACCCTTGTCTTCTAGTGAATGTAATAGGAATATTTGAAGCATGAACATGAGAAATGCAGAACAGGATTTGAGTTCCATGGAGCCTGATCCTATTCTTTCTTATGCAGAAGCAAATCCTACTGTGTTCAATGGGGCTAGGTCACAGGTAAATGTGCAACAGAGTTGCAACCTTTTTGTTTTTGAATCCTTTTGGTGCTATCTGTGTGTATGTGTGAATACTGTTCATGTGGGGTAGAAACTAATGAAGACCACAAATTTTAGACAGGTTATACCCTTGGGGATGATGTAGTAATATTAGTAAGTCTGCGTGACTCATGTAGTGGTTTCCTATGTTGAACAGGCTCTGTGCAGTTTAGATTTCAAGCATGACTGTTTATGGTACTAAAATCCATCAACCCCAACTTCTCATCATTTCCAAGGGTTATATCATTACTGTATTATTCTGGGTGCTATTTCCATAACGTCACTAACCTAGTTACTGGCAGGAGATTTCACATATAAATCTCCTGGGTCTGCACTCAAAATCACTGCTGTGGTCTGAAATTCTTATCCCATTCATTAATATGCACTGCATGGTTTTAATTCTGATCTATTATTGTGGTTTCAATTGCTTTTTATGTAAATTCTTGACTTTATGATTGGGTTTGGAGTGAGATGGTTCTATATTTTTTATTGTTGTGACATTTCAATTTGTTAGTCACATTGGGTTTCTTTGAAAATTAAGCAGCACATACATTTTATTTTAAAAATACATGAACTGCAAGCTGTGTAAATAAATTGCTGTTTTTATCTACTATTTAACTGGCCCAATTATGACAAAAAATGTGATTAAAGTGTGTTATCTGGTAAGTAATCTGCATGCAGGTATGGTTTCAAATGTGCACCTACAGAGGAAAGTTTTAAAAGCTTAGAGGACTCACAGAAACAGACACTCTCTCCAAATCTAGGTTCAAAAGCTGATGTTGGGAAGTCAAATGAAACTATCTTTAAGTGAGGAAAAGGCTGGACATTTATAATATAAACACCGAAGTGTCTTGTAGCACCTAAAAGATACATCCATTTATCCAGTACACTTCCAAACACCAGGAACCACTTCACAGGATGCATTTGCATCTATTTGTGGACTCTGATCCACAAAAGCTCATGCCATAATAAATTTGGCAGTTTTTAAGATGTCACAAGGGTATTTTGTTTTGCTTTTTGTTTTGTTTTGTTTCTTTGCTGCAGCATACCTTCTTAGAGATTGGGTTGGCGTGCAACAATGCTCTCCTAAATTATTTGCATTGCACATTTGACCGTAATGTGTATGGTTCACTTTCTTACAATGTTTAAAAAGATTTGGAAAACATGGGCAAAAGGAAATAATGGTATTATTTGGTTTTCATTTTTTCCTTGCCAAGGCATTTTAAATACTGTATGTAAGTTCATTTTATTTAAATCAGTGTAGGTTATTTACTTGCAGCTTGTTCAGTATGAGAAGGTGGGCTTCGTTCCTAGAAGGCGGTGTAGAGGGTTCGAGTTTACAACACTTTCAATGTGTTATACTTTAATATATATTTTTTCGACTGGTCCTACCAATAAACATCATTAGAACCATGCTGCAGATGTGCTTTAAGTTCCACTGTCCTTAACAAGTCATTGTCTGCAATCACAGGGCAATAAATCCCTCTGAAATCAGTGGTGATTGTAAACGCATTTTAGTGGGACAAGCCAATGAATGGAAAGAAACTGCTTAGCATGATGCAGTTTACAACCTCCTCTCCAAATAAATCTGTTGGAGGGTCAGTTGTGGTGCTTAATCTGTGCCTTCATCTATGCTGAAGGGGAAAGGCTGCAGTGCAGTCCCAGATTCAATCTCTGGGATCTCCAAGATGGGCTGACCTGACAAGAGATCCCAGCCTCAAAGCCTGGAGAGCTGACAGCACTGGATCACCACTGCATTAGCAGGCAGCTTCCGGTGTCCTTTGTTCAACCTTAATATGTGTAAATAAGCACAGATGTAAAGATCTAATAATTTTCTTCTGAGGGGAACCTAACCTGGGTGTTGCAGCCAGGAGTTTTGCACTGCTTGGAGAAAGGGATTGGTCATAGAATCATAGAGTTGGAATAGACCACAAGGGCCATCGAGTCCAACCCCCTGCCAAGCAGGAAACACCATCAGAGCACTCCTGACATATGGTTGTCAAGCCTCTGCTTAAAGACCTCCAAAGAAGGAGACTCCACCACACTCCTTGGCAGCAAATTCCACTGTCGAACAGCTCTTACTGTCAGGAAGTTCTTCCTAATGTTTAGGTGGAATCTTCTTTCTTGTAGTTTGGATCCATTGCTCCGTGTCCGCTTCTCTGGAGCAGCAGAAAACAACCTTTCTCCCTCCTCTATATGACATCCTTTTATATATTTGAACATGGCTATCATATCACCCCTTAACCTCCTCTTCTCCAGGCTAAACATGCCCAGCTCCCTTAGCCGTTCCTCATAAGGCATCGTTTCCAGGCCTTTGACCATTTTGGTTGCCCTCCTCTGGACACGTTCCAGTTTGTCAGTGTCCTTCTTGAACTGTGGTTCCCAGAACTGGACACAGTACTCCAGGTGAGGTCTGACCAGAGCAGAATACAGTGGCACTATTATTTCTCTTGATCTAGATGCTATACTCCTATTGATGCAGCCCAGAATTGCATTGGCTTTTTTAGCTGCCGCGTCACACTGTTGGCTAATGTCAAGTTTGTGGTCAACCAAGACTCCTAGAGCCTTTTCACATGTACTGCTCTCAAGCCAGGTGTCCCCCATCTTGTATTTGTGCCTCTCATTTTTTTTTTGCCCAAGTGCAATACTTTACATTTCTCCCTGTTAAAGTTCATCTTGTTTGTTTTGGCCCAGTTCTCTAATCTGTCAAGGTCATTTCGAAGTGTGATCCTGTCCTCTGGGGTGTTAGCCACCCCTCCCAGTTTGGTGTCATCTGCAAATTTGATCAGGATGCCCTTGAGTCCATCATCCAAGTCGTTGATAAAGATGTTGAATAAGACCGGGCCCAAGACAGAACCCTGTGGCACCCCACTAGTCACTCTTCTCCAGGATGAAGAGGAACCATTGATGAGCACCCTTTGGGTTCGGTCAGTCAGCCAGTTACAAATCCACTGAGTGGTAGCATAGTCAAGACCGCATTTTACCAGCTTCTTTACAAGAATATCATGGGGCACCTTGTCGAATGCCTTGCTGAAATCAAGGTAGGCTACATCCACTGCGTTCCCTTCATCTACCAGGCTTGTAATTCTGTCAAAAAACGAGATCAGGTTAGTCTGACATGACTTATTTTTCAGAAATCCATGCTGACTATTGGTGATCACAGCATTCCTTTCTAGGTGCTCACAGACTGTTTGCTTAATGATCTGCTCCAGAATCTTCCCTGATCATGTTTTGACACTGAGCCAATCCAAAAGTTCTATAGGTGGGGATTAATCTATTAGTGCTCATTTACACATGCGCATCACCGCTTGGTGCAAAAGATAGTCAATGTGTCAAGCACTGTGTGTGTGTGTGTGTGTGTGTGCGCACACACACACACACACACACGTGCTTGTCATATGAAGGAGAACAAAATGTGTTAGGGTTTTGAGATTCTAGAAATACATTTTGCAATAACACAAATCACATTGCTTGCTTTTCTTTCTCACTTCTGACATCCTGTTAATCCCTCTCCCTTTAATGTGCCAGCTCTCTTGAGGGAACGTCTTGCCACTGAGATACTGACTAGATTTAGTTTCCATTGACCTTAAAGGCATTAATTACCCACTGCTCATTTTGTTTTTCTTTTGAGAAGTAGTTTGCTTGCCCCATTGTTCCTTGTTATTCTTCTCCCAGATGCTTCCTTCCTTGATGCTGTAGCTGAAATGCCTATCTTCCTTTAAGTTTCCACCCACAACACATCCTTTTCTTAACAATTATCTCATTTCCTTTTGATAATAAGTCTGTTCCTTAATCATATTTAATCCTTGTCGGTAGCTGGCATAACATAATGATTAAGAGACTGAATTACAGATTGAGATACACGAGGTTTCACCACTGCCATGTGCTCACTTGGTGATCTTAAACCAGCCTGTAGTATTGTGGGGGAGTTTTAATGCCGGTTTACCATAGATAGCTGCTGTAAGGACTACAACTAGAACATGAACACGAAGAGCTCGGAATGTATGAAATCGCTACACATTTTGTGCAGTGTTTTGTGATTTAGAATACAGGGCTTAATTGGAGCCCAGGGGTTTTCTGAGTCTCATCACCAGAACAACCTCTTCCAATGCAAGGGCCTGGAGTTGAACATGAGAAGTAACAATGTGAAAAAATACTTTCCATCAGCTTCTGAGAAACAACAACCAGATCCCATGCACCAGGGGTTTGTGATAGGCATCTAAGCGATGTGACTAGTTCCAATGGATTATTGGCAGTGGTGAGAGGTAAGGGACTCCCTGATAAAATTGACAATCTCCAACTGCTGCCTCAATCCCAAAATTTACAATCTCAATCTGCTGACTCAGTTCATATATCTACCAACTCCCTCTTCTGACTTAGGCTGAATAAACATCATACATTTAAAGCACAATAAAATTATTATTATTATTTATTAAATTTGCATGCCACCCTTCATCCAAAGATAACAGGGCAGTTCACAACATAAAAAATACAAAATGAGAACACAAAATTCAAAATACATAATAACAACGAGAACAAAAGCAAACCAATAACCCTTAGAATGCTAATCAGCCAAAGGCCTGGTTCTGGAGAAACGTTTCCGCCTGGTTCCTAAAGATATGTAATGAAGGCACCAGACAAGATTCCCTAGGAGAGCATCCCACAAACAGGGAGCCCTGCAGAAAGGCTTGTTCTTGCGTTGCCACTCTCCGGACCAGTCCAGGAGGTCCTCAGATGATTATTGCAGAGTCCAAGTTCGGGAGAGGCTGTCCTTGAGGCACATGACTTCAAAACACATGACTTCCCCCAAAGAACCATGGGAACTGTAGTTAACACCAGAGAGCTATATCTCCCAGCACCCTGAACATGTAACAGTTCCGGGGATTCTTTGTGGAAATTAATATGCTATCGATGCTTATTAAATGCATGGTATGTATGCAACATAGTCCCCATCACTTAGCTAAATCATGGCTCTCTGTGGTGTGTTCTAAAAACAGTGGTTTAGAAAGCTTCCACACAAGGTTAGCAGGCTGGACTGCCACTGGTCCTCCTGAAATTTAAGAATCAAGACCCACTACATTAGGGATAACCAACGTTGTGCCCTACAGATGTTGTAGGACTACACTCCCTTCATCCCTGACCACTGGCCGTGCTTACTGAGGCTGATGGGAGTTGGAAGTCCAAGTCCAACAACATTTGGGTAGACATTGCCTGCTCCTGCATTGCATGATAAGCGCCTCTACCAAATTTCTACTCTATGCAAGGAGAAGAAGTTTAATAAAAAAACAACAACATGGCCCTGTTTCCTCTTTATCTGTTGATGGGACATTCTCAGATTTTACAGTCCTCATTTCATAAACAGTAAACACTTCTGCTAGAAAATCCCATGAAACCAATGAGGATCACATGTAATCATTTTGAATGTTTGTACATCACAGCACAGAAATATACATGCACTGGGAAACTAAAGCCAGTCATAGCTTCCCAGGTTGTACATGCTGCAAGACACCAATGAGGTCAAGTCTCATTAGTGATAGTCCATCGGTGGATTTCAACTTCCCCACTATTTAAAGAAATGTTTCATTGGGTAAAGTACAGTATGTACAATGTGAAGTAGCCTTCAGGCCAATAACCTGCCATTTTTTAGTTCTTAGCTAGAATGGAAAAGCTTCACTGATTGTCTTGGGGAGATTTGTCTGCTATGGCAGCATTTTGAAAATCCCCTGATATGGTTGCAGTGGAACAACAGCCTCTATCTTCATTATGCACCTGGGCTATACCCAAAATCCAAATAGTAGAGCATTGTAGTGGCAAAAAAAGGCTATTGTGTATCCGTAACACATCTCTTTTTTTCTGTTCCTAGTTAAATGAAGGTCTCTGTTCCCCATGGGCTTTCCAGGGCCTGACTCTGTGCATCATATGTATTGTTCTCTGTAGGATAAAGGGTAAGTCTAACATGATTAGTGCATTGGGGAAAGTGTAATGACTAGGCAAGGGTGGCTCAAGACATTTTGCCACCTGAAGCAATGGACAACATGGTACACACACACACTCTTGATATCGAGTAGCCAGCTGGACTGACTGCTGAATCCTAATTCAGTACTAGCAATGGGGCACTGCACTGTCCTGGAGGGAGGTCAGCACCATAGTTGTAAGGCTGGAGCCCCACAGCTCTCATCTCCAACAGTATGGACAGGGATATCAGGAGGAAGAGCTAAGGGCTGCCACCACCTCCCATCTTATGGCACCTGCACCAGTCACCTCATTCTACCTAATGGTAGAGCCAGACCTGTGACTATGAGCCAGTAGACCAGCAAGTGTGGCTGGCAGAGGGCTATGGAGAGTCTTGTGCTGCTGTGAGCAGGATGGGCTTCTATTTTGAGTCAAAGAAATGTATTTTTTTGGCATCTGTCTGTCTCAGGAGACAATGGAGGAGCACGCTTTGAGGGATGAAGTCAAACTGTTGGAAGGTTGCAGCACCTGCTGTGGCTGTAGAGACCAATGCAGGAGAGATATGTTTTGTTGCAGGTCAGGCAGATGAAGGCATCTGGTTGTGCTGCTACAAATGAACCATAGTGTTTCTTTTCTCTGTGCTCGTCCCAGTAGCCTTTCATCTTCTGGTCACTGCACAGACACACACAGAGCTGCCTTGTGAGGTTAAGTAAGGTATGCAGCAACCCTCTTCCCCAAATTGTTCCTACCATGAATTTCAGAAAGGCTTCCTTTTCCCTCCACCTATCCAGTGAAAGGTTTTTAAAAAATGAAAGAAAAATATTTTGGAAGTAGCAGCCCAGTTCTAATCTGTTCATGGTTGCTAGAAGTGCAGAACAGGAATTTTTGCATAAATAAATATTTTCCTTGGATCTAGACCAAGGGATTTGTAAGCATAAGATACGAGAGGTGATTATTAATTATTTTGTCTTGCCGCAGGTGCCATATTGACAAGTGACAGAGACGTGGAGCTGGGCGGCAACGCTACTTTGAGATGTACCCTAACAGAATCTCTTCCAACTATTCAAGTTACATGGCAGCAAGAGGTTAATAAAAACTTTGTAAATTTGGCAGCATATGACAAGAAACAAATTCCAAATATTAATGACCAATACAAAGGTCGAGTCAATTTAACAATTTTAGAACTCAATGACACTGCCATCAACTTCTGGAATGTTAGCACCCAAGAAAATGGTTGTTACCGATGCATATTTAACATCTTTCCTCCAGGATCCACTAGCAAAAAAACTTGTCTTTCTGTTTACGGTGAGTCATTTCATATTAAAATAGCTAGAGCAGGGCATTTCTTCAAATATGCTCCTTTGATAACGAAGCAATACAACACACACCATTATCTCACCCCTGTTCCAGGGGCGCAGGACTTGCCCAAGTTTGGTCTCCTTAGGAAGGGTGTTACAAGAGCCCTATAGCATTTCCTAATACTTGGTTTCATCCAACAATATAACTACCTATTGAGTATAATTGGAACTACAGCTTAAACCACAGGTGGTGAACCTGTGGTCCTTCAGTTGATGTTGGACTACAACACCTACGATCCATGAGCACGCTAGCTGCAGATTATGAGAGCAAAACCTGATAGTCTAAGATTACAATATCCACAGCAGATCGGAGGCAGTATATTTCCAGTTGCCCAGGTCCTGCCTGTGGACTTCCTGTGGGCATCTGATTGGCTACTGTGAGAGCAGAATGCTGAACTTGATAGGTCATTGATCCATTAGGTTCTTATATTCTTCTATGCTGATATGGGGAGTGGAACAGAATACTAAGAAGCTCCGGGGACCAAAAGCTCAGTTTGGTGTCTGATCTCCATCTGCCTCAAAACTGCAGGCTTCTCCTTTCGTTTCCCTGTATATACAGAGACCTGGATCACAACATTTGTTAACTGTGCAGGAGGATCTGTCCCCTTGTCTCATAATTCTTCCGATTCAGGACATTCCCAAATCTTTTGTTAGCAATGGGCTAAGGAATTTGTTGCTATGGCAACATATTCCTGAACAATTAACAAGTCCAAGGTTCTGGCCTGTTATGCCACAGAGAAACTCACACTAACGAAAACCCCTTTGTAAAACTGATTAGAAATCAGCCCACTGTGTAATAATGTTACAACATATGTTTTGGTTTTCAGCCAGAACATTGCAGTGTGGGACATTGGGCTTTTCCACATGAATGGTGTGTTGAATAACACACTATAGCACACTACAGTTGAAGGATGATTGCTCAAAGTTAACATAAGTTTCCTACCATATAGTAGGAAAGTAGTAGTAAAGGGACCCCTGACCATTAGGTCCAGTCATGGCCGACTCTGGGGTTGCGGTGCTCATCTCTCTTTATTGGCTAAGGGAGCCAGCGTACAACTTCCGGGTCATGTGGCCAGCATGACTAAGCCACTTCTGGGAAACCAGAGCAGTGCACGGAAACGCCGTTTACCTTCCCGCCGGAGCGGTACCTATTTATTTACTTGCACTTTGACGTGCTTTCAAACTGCTAGGTTGGCAGGAGCAGGGACCGAGCAACGGGAGTTCACCCCATTGCGGGGATTCGAACCGCCAACTTTCTGATCGGCAAGTCCTAGGCTCTGTGGTTTAACCCACAGCACCACCCATGTCCCTTTTCCTACCATATAAGGTAAAGGTAAAGGGACCCCTGACCATTAGGTCCAGTCGTGACCGACTCTGGGGTTGCGGCACTCACCTCGCTTTATTGGCCGAGGGAGCCGGCGTACAGCTTCCGGGTCATGTGGCCAGCATGACTAAGCCGCTTCTGGTGAACCAGAGCAGCGCACGGAAACGCCGTACCTATTTATCTACTTGCACTTCGTGCTTTCGAACTGCTAGGTTGGCAGGAGCAGGGACCGAGCAACGGGAGCTCACCCAGTCGCAGGGATTCGAACCACTGACCTTCTGATCGGCAAGTCCTAGGCTCTGTGGTTTAACCCACAGCGTCACCCGCGTTCCTACCATATAGTCTGCCTCTAATTCAACAGTTTGCAGTTTGCCCTGCTGAGTCCCTCACTGATACAGTAGCATCTTTTCATCTTCCTTTTATTGCCCACCTGTGGTCCTTATGGTGAAGCATTTTGTGCCATCATTTATGTCACAGGTCGCCTCAACACATTTTTACACTACAGCATCTCTGATGGGCGCTTGTATGCCACCTGCTCAGCAACGGGCTTCCCACGTCCCAACATCACATGGGTTGCGCCAAGAGGCCTGAAGGAGGAACACGAGATCACAAATCCCAATGGAACAGTATCGGTCATAAGCAATATCCTTGTAAATGCCTCAGATAGCCATTCTGGACAAGAGATGATCTGCAAGGTTACACACAGGGGGAAAGAGATGGATCTCAAGGTACCAAGAAAAGGTAAGTGAGCAAAGCACTCGGTGCCTGTCATCTTCCTAAAAGGTAGCAAAACTTTCATCTTAAAAATCTTGTATTTTCTTTTCTTCCATTCTACAAGGGATGGCGAACCTGCAGCCCTCCATATGTTACTGACCTCCAGTTTTCCACCATCCCTGATCATTGTCCATGATACCTGGGGGCGATGAGAACTGGAGTATAACAACCTCTGGAGGGTCACAAGTTTGCCATGCCTGATGTAAAAGGAAAAAAAACAAAATTCAGACTAAAGAGAGGCTTTAGTGCAAGGATGTGGAACAGGTTCCAGGTGGCCAATTTTGGCAGTTGAGTGGGGCTACCCACCTGTCCACCCCTGGATTCTTTAATACTGTATATTTCACACTTCCCCTTATCAAGTAATAATTATCATTTTATTCTATTGTCACATGCATGCATTCTTCCTTATTTTCCCCTCCTTCAAGATGGATTTCGGCATGTGCTTTTAGTCTCCCTCTGAAATTCTTTACTCTTACCTCTTTCATAAACTGAAACACACTCACTGGTTTTCAGCGAATGCATTTTGAACATATGCTTAGAAGTTATTTCAACCTCTAGTCATCTCACCCACTACAGCAAATTAAGGACCTCACTTTCAATGTAGAATTGTGATTTTATTCTATGTTATATTACATTATTATATCATATTATATTATAATATAAATCATTATTATATTATATTATGTTATATTATATTATTGCATTTATATTTATATTACATAGACTCCTCTTCATACTGTCAGCAATTATTTTCTTTCCTCCATATAGGCTATCCATATGCTGTGGTGGTAACTGTACTTGTCCTAATTTCTCTGACTGTGGTTATTATTGCGGTGTGCTGCTGGAAACGACACCAAAAATAATGCAGAAGTAAGTTATTTAAACCAAAAGAAGATAAATATACGTTGTTGCTATGCAGACTACTTGAATGGTAGCCGATGCACATAAAAATGCTGGATAGCAGCTGAATGATAGGGCTTGTGCTCAGGAACGGAGAGATATGTCAATTTTGGTTTGTCCTGAATTCTCAGTTTTCTGAGAGCTCCCAGGTAGGCTCCGCCCCCTTTTGTGCTTGAAGAGCAGACCAGAGTGAAGACTACTTCTACTCGGTCAGCTCCCCTGGCTCCGCCTCCCCAGTCATGATTGGTTCATTTGAACTGAGGTTTGGCAGGAACCTCAAGGTCTGTGACCTGAAGAGGTGGACCAGGAGCACTCTGCCGGGAGTCATGGAGGATCAGGGGTGCTGTGCATGGGCACGCAAAGGGTGCCCTCCATTTTATGGGGAGAGCGGTTATTTTAGCACAAATTTATTGACTGGAGAACACCATCACAATTTAGAAAATACGAATTTCAAAGGTTGGCTGTGTTTCAGTTTTCATATTGTTTCATAACAATACTCCGGACACCTGTACACACGATCTCTACACATGTGCAAGTGTTTGCATGGAAGTATACACTTGTTGTACGTCCCAGTCACTGTGTACACAGACTGTACACTTGTTGAGCGTTACACGGGAATAGCAGCAGGGTTGTGCAGCTCATCTGTTGTGTACACGGGGACCAAGATGGAACACACGCTGAACGTGTTATGTGAACACCTCAACTGCTATCTCATAAAGAGGCTTTGCAAAAGTTCTGAAGCATTACCAAAACTACCATATCAGTATGCGTGTGCTTTCCCCCACAGGGCAAAAAGCATTTTGTGGGGATGGGGGAAATATTTTGACTGGGAAAAGGACGGAAAGGCTTAAATGCCATTCACAGCTCTGTGTTCCCAATCTGGTTCAGGGGCTTCCCATGCCCCATCTAGCTTGGCCCAGAGATGTTTATAGACTTGAACTATGCATCATAGGTAACATTGATGATAATATAACTTCCCAGTCCTGGGAGATGGAGTTTTCCTTGGTCTAGAGCCTAAATTCCTTCATGTTTAAAATATGCTCCATGAATTGGCAAGGCTTGTGAACAAAGAAATTACATTCAGCGTTTAACTTTCTCCAAGCAGCTTCATTTGAAACAGCTTTATTCCTAAGTCATTCACAACGTTTAAACAAAGTGAGCTACCATAACATTTTAGCGTTGAGGCAGTTAAGCTTAGTGAGAGTTTTGGATTGATGTCAGCCACAACCCCATATGAAGCTGCAGATAGAGGCTTCTAGAACTTTCACTTCCTCTCTCTGGAACTTTCAGTCACGCACATACAAGCAGAAACTGGGCCACCAGCTGAAAGAGACTTTTCAGAGGTGGAATCGCTTCCCTTACAAACTAAGGCAAATTAACTGTGGTGATTTAAAATTAGACTTTTGTAAAAACACATATTATTCTATTAGGATTTTGAATCCCCCCCCCCCCAGTTTAAATGAAAATTCTATGAAAAATGTATATGTATTGGAAATGAATTTATTTTTAAAAAAGGAAGTTCTAACTGGAAAATTAAATGTTCATCAACAAACAAACATCAACTTTAAAAATGCAGGGCAGCAGTAAAAATTTTCAGCTGACCTATCCCAAATCCTATATCTCGACAAGCTCTCTACATTCAAATTTTCCCCTCAGCTTTCTTATGAGCCAACAATGTTGTGCCCTACCTCCACTGCCCAGTCTCTTGTCTGGAACCATTCCTGCTTGAAATTCCTGGAAACGTCAGATTAAGACAGATAACGACAGTCATAGGGAGTGTCTACCATAACTTGAAGCCAAGTATCATAAGGAGGGATTTTGTTTCCTGTGTTAAACAAAAGAAATGGACACTTATAAATTCTTATTTAATATTCAGAGATGTTTTCATAGGGTAGCCTATCAAGGTTTTTACAGCACTGAGGAAATAGGAACGAAAATAAAAATTAAGGGCATGTTGTCCTTGACGTGAGAACATATTCTTCTTGCTGGGGCTTAAGGCTGTGGCAATTTTTTCAGGAGATCATTATGGCAGCCCCTGGAATGTCCAAAAATGAAGGCAGTTGTGTTGCTCCATTGTGTATGTGTGTAAACATGCAATCACACATGCATGCACACACACAAGTACGCACACAAAAGCATAATATCCAGTTTATTAGGGATCAGCCTGGCTGAAACATCTGCATAATTATCTGGACATAAGCTCTATTGAACTCAGCAGCGCTTGCTGCTGAAGGCATATAAGATGATGTGTGTCAGAGGTGATTCGTACATTAATAAACAATAGTAATGATAATCAATAATAAGTTCAACGTCTGAAACTCAGAGCAGGGGTAGCTAGCTATATCTTCAGGGGGGGAATCTGCTCTTGTGTATCTAGTACCGTATTTTTTGCTCTATAAGACTCACTTTTTCCCTCCTAAAAAGTAAGGGAAAATGTGTGTGCATGTTATGGAGTGAATGCAGGCTGCGCAGCTATCCCAGAAGCCAGAACAGCAAGAGGGATTGCTGCTTTCACTGCGCAGCGATCCCTCTTGTTGTTCTGGCTTCTGAGATTCAGAATATTTTTTTTCTTGTTTTTCTCCTCCAAAAATTAGGTGCATCTTGTGGTCTGGTGTGTCTTATAGAGCGAAAAATGCGGTACTTTCTTCTTGTAAGGAAATTGACTTGTCAAAGGATTTCTTGAAACATCTTAACATTCAGACAAGTGCGGAGCAACAGCAACACCCAAACCTGCCCTTTCAGCTCTCAAAAGTCCTGTTTCCTATATAGACTGGATCCCTTCCAAACAGTAGCAGCCAAGCCCTGAACAGGATATATTGCACAAGAACCCTGACCTTTCCCTTCACCTTCATAGTTCCATATTTTCTCTTGCAGCTATGGAGTGGCTTTTTATTCTGAAACATTTTTGATTGTCACACAAGTGAGGGCTGCACACCACACACTTCCTCCTGCAATGTGGGTTTGTGGTTGTGGAGCAGGAGTAGTTCTGAGAAAAAAAGCAATGTTTCTCTCAAGAAATAAGCATTCCTGAAACACTCATATGCAATCTATTGCTGTATTCCCCCTCCCCCTTTCTTCAGCAACCTGGGTCCTATTTAAATAGGGCTTGTTATAGAAAATGCAAGTTTAGTACTGTTTCTGCCATGACTATGTAGAGCAGTGTTTCCCAACCGGTGTTCCGCGGCACACTAGTGTGCCGCCAGACGTTGCCTGGTGTGCCGCGGGAAAAATTGGCGGGGGGGGGGGGAATAAAGGGGAAAAAAATTATTCCCCCACCGCCAGGCGTGGGGCTGGGGCGGGGGAAGCCCGAGCTTCCCCCTCCCCCAGAACGGGACCCAGAGCCATGCCGAAGCTGCGCGCAGCTTTGGCATCGCTCTGGGAGCTTGCGGGGCTGGGGGAGGAGGAAGCCCTCCGCCAGCCTCCAAACCATGTCGGGAGACAGCGGGATGGCGCGCTGCGCCTCTCCCGCTGTCCCCCGAGTTTGCAGGGCTGGCGATGGGGAGGAGCAGGCTTCTCCCCCCGCCAGCCTTCCAGCCAAGTCGGGGGGGAGCGGCAAGGGCGCGCTGCGCCTCTCCCGCTGTCCCCCGAGTTTGCGGGGCTGGCGATGGGGAGGAGCAGGCTTCTCCCCCCGCCAGCCTTCCAGCCAAGTCGGGGGGCAGCGGCAAGGGCGCGCTGTGCCTCTCCCGCTGTCCCCCGAGTTTGCGGGGCTGGCGATGGGGAGGAGCAGGCTTCTCCCCCCGCCAGCCTTCCAGCCAAGTCGGGGGGCAGCGGCAAGGGCGCGCTGCGTTTCTCCGCTGTCCCGGACGGCTTTCAAAAGCCTGCCTTCAAAAGCCGTCCGGGACAGCGGAGAAACGCGCTGCCTTTCTCCGCTCTCCCGGGAAGGCAGGCAGGGGGGAGCAAAGACTTTCGCCCCCGCCCGCCTTCAGAAGAGGTCAAGGACCTTCAAAAGCCATCCGGGACAGCGGAGAAATGCGCTGCCTTTCTCCGCTCTCCCGGGAAGGCAGGCAGGGGGGAGCAAAGACTTTCGCCCCCGCCCACCTTCAGAAGAGGTCCAGGACCTCTTCTGAAGGCGGGCGGGGGGCGAAAATCTTTGTCCCCCCTGCCTGCCTTCCCAGGGGCTTTTAAATCGCCCCGGGACAGCGGAGGACTTCTCCGCTGTCCCGGGCGATTTTAAAATGCCGCCCGCCAGCATTTTAAGATTACCCCGGACAGCGGAGAAGTCCTCCGCTGTCCCGGGGTTTTTTAAAATGCTGGGGGTGGGAAGAAAAGCCCTTGTCCCCCCCCCAGCCTTCAGAAGAGGTCGGGGGACAGACTGTCCCCGGACCTGGTCTGAAGGCGGTTTCCCTAGGAACGCATTAATTGATTTTCAATGCATTCCTATGGGAAACCGTGCACCGCAAGACGAAAAACTCGCAAGACGAAGAGACTTGCGGAATGAATTAATTTCGTCTTGCGAGGCACCACTGTACCCGGAGGGGCGGCCTTCAGGTGAGTTTTAATTTTAATTTTCCTTCTCCCACTTAATGCCCCACACTCGCCCGAGCAGCTTGCAGTCCTCGGTAACCACGGCGACCTGAGGGAGGGGAGGGAACAGGGAAGTCGAGGGCGGCGGCGAGCCGCGATGACGTCAGTGGGCCGCGCCGCCTCGCCCTGGCACAGTGTGAGAGCCCCGGCTAGTGGTGCGAGCTTCAGAATAAGTGGGATCCGCGTGCGCGAGACCGAGATCGCAGGTAAGGAGCTCAGCCCTGGGCAGGAGGAAGCGGGGCCACGCGTGCGGGCCACATCCCCACAGAGAGCGAGCCTCCCCCGGCCCACCACTCCGGGCAGGTCCACTCGCATGAGGGGGCGGCGATGGCGACGGCCGGCAGCTTTCCTGCAATGCCATCCCTCGAGCAGGCGAGGAGCCCGGAGGCTACCAGATGCGAGTCCTCTTTCCCACCCTGCTCGGGAGTCCAGAGCACTTGGTCGCATTCAGGATCTAGAGTGGGGAAGCGGGGCTTGTGTCTGGGCTGGACACATTGGGCTGCCTGTGCCGCTCGACCTGCGGGGAGAAATCAGGGTGGGAGTCACGACCGTGAGGCAGGGCTGCCAAGTGTGGCAGAAGAGGACACGGCCGTCGCACCTGTCCTTAGGTAGGAGCTTCTTCCGTGTCGACCTGCTGCCCTAAAGTCTTGGCTTTTTTCTTGGCTTTTTGGCGGTTGGCACAGAAGGAAGGCAAGGGGGAGGGGGAAAAAATTGAAACTTACACTTTCGTGCGTCCCTCCCGGCGTGACGCTGCGCGCTGACGTCATGGGGCTGTAATGGTGGTGTGCCTCGAGATTTTTTTCATGAAACAAGTGTGCCTTTGCCCAAAAAAGGTTGGGAAACACTGATGTAGAGCACATTGCCATACCCAGTTGGTGTGAAATTTTTGAAACACTTGGAGCAGTCAGCTCATTCTTTCCTCCTACACTATATATATATGAAGATTCAGGAAGAAAAGTGAGAATAGACTACATTCGTGATACAGAATGGGGAAAAACTGTGAAATGGCTCCCTGACAGTTGAAACATGCCTGACATTGTCATTTTTTAAAAGGCAAACAGCCTTTTATTTACCCAGATTTTAGGTGGTTACCGTGATGCTCATCTTTTAGTGGGGGGGGGGGAACTTGTTGGATGAGCATTTTAAGAATTTTGTATTGTACATCTTTTTCTAATTTGGCTCTTAATTTTAGATTTTATTTCACTGTGTATTAAGTTGTTAAGTTACCTTGTATATGGCAACAAATATATATATAATATTGATAAAATAAAATAATTAAAACTACTCTATCTATCTATCTGTTCTCTTTTAGGAATCTAAGAGATTAAACCAACATTCTGAATTTTGTTCCAGGGAACTGAAAAAACATTCTAGCAACTGTGTCTATATAACTAGAATGTCATGAATTTAAAGGAGAATCTGTACCAAATTTGTGATTCATCATTGCCAGCTTTTCCTCTTTTTCCACTGAAAGGACCTCTATGGCTGAAGCTTAAAACTGTGCCTACAGCAAACAATGGCTGGTCTCCAACAGGAAAATAACATGTACCTTGGCAGGCCTACCTTCTAGGTAGTCCTTCCACCAATATAGATGCCAGATTTGTGAACTGTGGCCAGATCAGGTGTCAACAGAAGTAACAGGCCACATGCATTTTCAGTGGCAAATACAATATCAGCTGGGATCCAGAGGTTCTCTTGTACAAACAGAAGGCATTTCTGTGGGTACAGAGATTCTCCTAGATTCTGTCGATTCTCCCCTCTATTTGCAGCCTCTATTGCTACATCCCATGTTTTTCCCAGTGGTGGGAAAGCACTGTTGTCTGAGCAGTGTCCTGCTTGTTTGTCACTGGATCCAACCCAAAGAAAATGAATTATTAATTCTTAAATGAAAATAGAATGAGAAAAGAAGGTGGTAAACAGCAGGATTATAATCTAGTAAAAGGCTTAGAATTTTTAAAACCAAGGAACACATGTGCAGGGTTTTGGGCCAGTTTCCACCATGAAGTATTCATTTGCTCCCAAAAGAAAAAAGCACAATGCAAAATAAACACAGATCTGCTTCTGTTAATATAATTTTGGCTTTCCTTCTATAAACACACTATTGTTAGCTGATTTTAAAGGGAAGCTTAAAAGGAAAATGCAAAGGGACAATGTTTTCCAGCAATCTACTGAAGAGGAAGGGCACAGGTTTGATGAATAAGAGCTATTCAATAATTCTGTAACTATGGGGATTGAACAGGAAACAATTAATTGGGCTTAAAAAGGAATGAAGGAAAAGAGGAAGTTATTGTTTAAAGGCACAGTAGCCCAAAAGACCTTAGCAGTGTTTACCAAACCACATTGAACAGGCTAGTGCTGAAATCGATTTCATTTTAAGAAAGTAATAATTAGAACCTACAAATCAGGTAAAAAAAGAAAAAGAAACACAGGAAAAAATGGAACGCAGCAGGTAATCATGTCACATGGATTTTGTAAAACCTGAGAGAATAAAGGGATGTCAATTTCAAATTAAATGGCTCATATAAAAGGAACCCAAGTAAATATTTATGGGCATTAATTAGTTCCTGGTGTTAGTTATCCTAACTGTGCTTTATGGCAATTTCTTGTACATTCAATGTTACCTCTTCTGTGGCTACCTCTCTTAAAATAAATCATTGCACTGAATGTATGGAAAGACCTACTGCATTTTATGTAGAAACCAAATAAAGTAATTTCAAAGAAAAGTGATAATATGCTCCTTATTGTCGATGTCTTTGGCTCTTTTTTTTTTGTCAAAATGGGACCTCAGATTAAAATAGTGCTACAATTGGATGTAGATTTGATGTGATGATAGTCTAATAGTCCTTTTTACCTTTAAAAATCTTTCTGCACTGATTTCTTTAAAAGCAAAAAATGACATTTAAAAAATAGCAATGAAGCTCTATCAGAACTAGTAGACAGTTTCTCTGGCTTCCTGCAGTTTCTTGTGGTTACAAGAAAGCCCACCTGAGGTTATTACAGGGGCACTTGGGAAGGCTGAGGAATGTGGAGAGAGGATTTGTAGAATCAAACCAAAGACGAAAAACTTTGACACCTCTAAAGTAAGGGAAGTGCCCTTCACTGAAAAATTCTCTCTGCTTTGGTAATTTTTAATAATTTGATTATTTTTAATGCAATTTCTTTTCTAGTGCATTGATGGAGAATGGTAAACAAGCAAATAAGTACATTTTTCCTGATTACATAATTTCTAATTATGTAAGCCACCTCAAAGTTTTGTAGAGAGGTGGGATATTATATGGATAAATCAAGAAATCTGTGCTAAAGCACTGCAACCTCCCTGTCACATTTGTTTTCAAAACTTTTTTGAGACTGTACGTGCCCCATTGCAGTGTTAGGATGTTCAGCTAGTCAGATTAAGAATGACAAAACTCAGCACAACTACTAAAGCAGTCAGCTGGTAGTCTTTTTCCAACCACTTCAGCTATGCTGCTAAATGAATCAATATGATGAAGGCAGAAAGATGAGAACTTTGCTGAAATCAACTTTCCATTTCCTTGCCTAGATCTGAAGATAATTGTTTGCAAATTAGATGGGTGACTTTGACAAGGAGCATAAATGATTCATCGCAGACGGATAAATATTTTGCAGCTAGATTTGCATGCTTGCAGTTTCAGAGGTCTGGTGATGAACTTTTCAAACACAGGGCAACAGGCCACTCACGCACCTGCACTAGGCCTAGGAGCCCAGCATGTCGCAGAGGATTCTGGGAGGTGTTGGCTCATCAGGTTGTTGGCACCGTTGACATTCTGCAAGAACTGTCCATATGCACTAAAACATTACTAATGTTTTGATGTGGCTGTCACTCACTGGATAATATCGTCACCAGCAGTTGCACAATACCTTTACTAGGAGGACCAACCAAAATGTCACAAAATAGTAGCAAGCTAGGTCTGGTTAACATCCAGCCTTTGTGTTTTAAAAAATAGGGGGTGACCACTATCCCAGAATACTAGCTGTGTAGCCATATACTGGGAACACCTAGTAGAGACTTACTCAGTTTGAAATATCCATTTTGTAAGAGAATCTTGTCCTTATGACTACAACATCCAGCCAATTTCTGTACTCCCACCCCTTCTTTATTTTTCCTCGTCTCCCTGCCACTTGCTTTGCGTAATTTCTCGCAGAAAGAAGCTCCCAGCCCCCTCTAAATCTTTCAGCAACTTTCCGTTTTGCTAACTATGTCTGGTTTAGCAATAGGGTAGTAGTTTAGGCTTTCCACAGGTGGATGATCACAATCATGGTGAATTCATTATCTGAAACACCACAAACTACTCACAACAAGTGGGTATCAGCAGGCTTAGGGGCACTAAAAATAAATATTCAGGGGTAAATCACTAAGGGGTGGAATGGCCCAGTGAACACTGAGTGTGCTCAGCAAACACACAATGCTAGCTGACTGACACTTGTTGGAGGGGGAGGAAAATGGACTGCTCAGGAAGAGAGCATGGTTGGTTGGTTGGAATCCTGAGCAGTAAAACTCTACACTATTGCAGTTTCCCACTTGTCCTTCCTGGGCCACATTCCCAAACAGAAGTTTCTAATAACAAAACCTTTTGCCAGCAGAACAAGTGTACCACTAAGAGACTTTAACTTGGCTCTACACTGAATGCTATCCAAAGATTCTAGATACAGGTAACTAGGGAGCCATGTAGATGGTCCTTTGGGCTCATGTAAGCCTTGGATTTATATTATTCATTCATTCATTCATTCTCCTGTCACACAGACAGTTCTGTCATAGCACAAAGAACAACTGCATCACAGAATTGCTTCTTCCCTATTTACACCCAGTGCTTTTTTTCCTTAAAAAATGCATGTGTACTCTCATTTTGACTGAAGAAAATCACCATTTTATAGCTCAAATCAGGAAGAATAAATACAGTAAATGGACATCAGGGGTAGCAGTGGAACTGACGATTCACTGTGCTAGAGAAGAAACTATTTTTTAAAATAATTTTTCAGTTTCTTCTCCTGTTAAATTCACAAAATGTTTAGGGGTATGCATCCCCCTGCATCTCCCCAGAAAAATCACTGTTTACACCTATTAAAAATTGTTCTTAAATGCTACCCTTTTGACATAACTGTTGTGCCTCTTTTGTGAGGTCATCCACTGGTTGCACAAACTTTAACAATGAAACACCAACCTTTTGTTCCCACATGTACTTCAAGTTTACACCCTATTGCTTTCTTCCAACTGAGAATGCAGAGTTTTCCCCAAAGTTTTTCACAGTGACTCCAGCTGTGAAAGTTCATGGGAGATTTGCTCTCGTTTTGGCTCCTTTTCAGAAGTTGCTATGTAGCTCACTCCTTCACATGTTTATTCAAAAGCAATTACCACTAAAGTTGATAAGACTTGCTTCAACTAAATAAGTCTGCATAGGGCATGGATTTGAGAAAAATAACAATGGGCTTATTATTTCGAATTAGGAGATCAAACTATAAATCGGTAATAGAAGAGTTATTTTCAAAACCCTAAAACGGGTGTTTCCAATCTTTTGGATTTATCTTCGCAAGCATTGCCATTGCCATTTTTAGAAGGCTAGGAAGTCATGGGAAAAACCCTCCTCTTCCAGCAATGGAATGAATCAAATATATCAGATTTCAGAAGGATGCCCTCCAGTTTGTGCACAGCAGTTTAAAGTTACAGCTGTCTTTTCATGGCTGACTTTTTAAACAGTTGTTTTGCACACTCCACAATACAATCCTGTACATGTCTATTCAGAAGGCATGCCCATTAAGTTCAGTGGGGATTACTCCCAGATGAGGATTGTGGCCTAACTCACAGAAATACCAAAGGTGTTGTGGGCTTTGAAGACGCTCGAACTCAGGACAAAAGGGAGTAACGTGCTAAGAGGAAGGCATGCTTGGCAAACCCTCACCGTGATCAACTCCCGCCCAGAAACCTATGTCCCCACTGTGGAAGGATGTGTGGATCCAGAATTGGCCTCCACAGTCACTTACACTGTCACTGCTAAAACCATGTTTTGGAAAACAATCTTACTCGGCTACAAGTGATCACCAAAGAAGAAGTATGCATTTGTGTGTGCTTTGCCTGTGTGGAAGTATGAAGAATAAAACTGTGAGAATCTATTATGTATTGTTAAATTTATTAACAACACATTCAAGTTCAATATAAAGCAAGCTCTCATTGGCTTTTCTGGGGGGGGGGAACCTTCTTGGATTTCTAAGTTCATTATTGCTTTTAAATGTGGAAAATATTTGATAAGTGTCAAAGGAAACGCTGATGAGTAATTGTGTGGGACTGGGCATTAAAAGTGCAGGTCCTTGTAAAGTTAAAATCTCTGGGGATTTTAGCTTTGTATTTTTATTTTTTATCTGCTTGGTTGAACTTTTTTTGGTTATCTGTCATGGAAATATTGAGAGCTTTTTGGATTATGTTGGCAATGAATGTGGGAAATGTAGATTCAGCAAGTCCATTGAACAAACAAACAGACCCTTATTGCCTCAAATCTAATTGCGAACACATAATAGCTAGTTTAGAAGAGGGAAACATTTTTTTGTCCAGCTCTAGCATGGGACTGGGGAACCTTTGGCCCTCCAGATGTTGCTAGACTACAGCTCCCACCTTTCCTGACCAGTGGCCCATCCTAGTTGGGGTTGGTGGGACTTGGAGACTACCAACATCTGGAGGGCCACAGGTTCTCCAGCTATGCTCTAGCAGCATCATGCCCATCCTTCATGCCCAACAGTGCTCCTCAGTATGTACCTTTACTTGAGGACACTTGCAGCTGAGGCAAAACTTTCCCACTTCCATGACACTGGGTGCTCTCATCTCTGCTATTATGGATTCCTTGACTGGAAGGGCTGTAACAAAATCCAACCACCTTCTTTGGTTCCTCTGTTAGCAACCACATTTGATTACCAGGCAGTGCTGGATGTATACCACAGATGGAGAACCTCAGGCCTCTCTAAATGGCCTTCTAGATTCTTCTCAAGGCACACACCATCCTGAGCCACATCCCTCACCCTCCTTTGCACCCTCCTTCAGTGTTTTCGGCTGGCTGGAATATGTCTGTGAATTCGGGTAATGCTCCCTCCTTGTCTGGATGGAAGACAAAGAAGGGTTTGTGAGTGAGTAGAAACTTGTCCACTGCATGAGGGTAAAATTCATATTTGTTTATCAGCCCTTTTGCCTCTGGCCTCACCTGCCATTGGATGTGGCCCCTGGGACATTGGCTAGAGGAAATGAGGAATATTGGCTGAAAAGGTTCCCACCCTGATGCACTTCACGCAAACTTCCACAAAATGCCACAATATCAAGCCAACAACCACATCTACTGCCACCTCTCACTTCTCCTGTCCAACCAAGGACCACTGCATTGGTCTGGAGTGGGATTAAAATGGAGGAATAGCAGTGAAGACAGTGACTAGTGCTTCAGTTCTCCAGCAGGGAATGGAGCCTTAAGTACAGGCATAGAGTCTCTCTTCAAATGCTGTTGTGTAATGGGTCAGTGCATCTGGCTGTTAACCAGAAGGATGGTGGTTTGAGACCACCCAGGGATGGCTGTGGGCAAGATTCCTGCATTGCAGGGGGTTGCACTAAATGACTCCCAGGTTCCCTTCCAATTTTATGATTTTGTAAGGCTGTACACGAGTGTGGTGGCATGACCCCTGCGCAGATTGGTACTGAAGGCGGTGAAAGATCCATGTGGTTCCACCTCAGGCATTGC